ACATTAGGGTCCAGTTCAGACGGGCTGGGATTTCGAATAGCAGCACTGAGCAGAAAGTTCACTGCATTACAGTCCAAGCTCTCTCCTGTGAATTTGTGAGTGGCTAAGTATTGAATTCAACTTTCTGATCTCGGGGAGTGTCTCTAAACACACGGGTATTGTGCTGGAATTATTTGAAGCATGCAGACATACGGTTTCGCGTAAGACCAGTGGAGACATGGCTTTAGCCGGGTGCTTGAGCTGGACAAAAAACTTTTTTCAGAATTCTTTGCCTTCACACCGGTTTGTTGGTAAAGGAAATAGGATTCTGTTCCTTGGTAGTTCATTTCTATACATTTATTTTTTTATCTTTTGGACTATTGATGTCCACAGCCTTGTTTTCCGAGCAATATAGTGCTCTCCCTGGTAAGCTCAGTAATTGAAAGTCTTTTGTGCTTTGTAGGTTGGCTTTTAAATAGGTCAAAATCAGCAGGAGAGCTTCATAACCAGAGCAATTAGGATTTTAACCCTTTATCCTACATGCCTTAGAGACAGTAGAATATAATGTAAGTCGACTAATAGGCTGCTGTGTGCCATGGGCAGCCACTGAAAGCCAGAGGTTTCTGGTTCCCAGCTTACAACTGAGATCTTCCTGTAGTGGAAAATTACTGAATTATGGTGTGCAAGGAGAGAGGGTCAGCTTGGGGTTGGGCCAGCAAGATGGTGGTGTTGAAGAGATCTTTTTCAGTAGCAGTTGCATGCTGCTGCCAGGTCAGTGGTTTGGGGCATTGGCTGGGCTCTGATTTAGAAGGAAGTTGTGCAGCTCTGAAGACCAGTACTCCAAAGCATGTGAAAAGAGGTGAGAAGTTTAAAATGTTTCCCGACATGCTGCTCCTGCACCTGCTTTTCCTATTGGAAAGAAATGATGGAGAATACCTATGTAAGAATTGTTTGGTGCTGCTGGTAACTATTAGCTCTGAACTTGTATGTCGTTCCTTTGCAATCTTTTTGTTGTGTGCAGTAGTAGATAGAAAAAGCAGCAGGAAAAAAGTTGATCCTCGGAGGTTAATTGTTATTTAAAACGGGATTTGTGTTGTTAATGGAGCTGTTTAACAGAAACAGATTTGTACAAACAACCCTTCCCCCACCTTTTGCATGTGCGATCTTCCTGTTTACAGTAATCTGCTTCTCTGGGATTACCTCTCTCTTAACAGAGACTCTAAGCAATACTCATTTTACCAGTAGCTTCCTACCTAATACAGGAGAGACCCTGCTAATCCCCAGCCCCTTTGCTGGACAATGGGAAGTAAATTAGTGGCATCTATGCAAAAGGGAAGCCAGCAAGCAATTTTCTTTCATTGTTACTTACAGCTTCAGAATATCCGATGAGGCTTTAAAGCAGCAGAGAACTATTATTTCTGTATAATTATTGCCTATATTGATTAGGATGCTGCTGATATAAGCACGAGTCAATGATTTGCTTTGCAGATCTATCAGTAGATGAAATATATACCATGGTGCTTACAAATGCATGTACTTGTGTTTGTAAATGCGTGTGGTTGCATCTAACCAACAACTTTACGACATTGCTGTGGTGTTTGTGGAAGATAAAGTGCCAATTCTAAGCCACTTAATCAGTTTATTGAGCTGTTTTCAATATGGTAACTTAAAGGGATCGCTCGAACAGATAGACGTTCCTCTGCCCCAGGACCCTGAGTCAACAAAACTAACCATGCTCCAGCTGATCTGCAACAAAGCAAAATGTTCAAAGCTAACTAGTTAGAAGAGCAATGAAGCAGAATAGATGCTACTAAAAGATTTAATGTGCAGGACGGGATGCGGAGGCATGGAGTACAGTTGCTGTGTGTACCTGCCGCTGCCCTCACCCTGGACCCAAAGGCTGTTTTGAGGCATGCCTGGAAGATGCCTCGCGCTCTCTGGCTGTCTTTAACTGTCCAGGTCTCGTTAAACTCGTTGTAGGAAAGGAATCATAGAATCATAGAATCGTTTAGGTTGGAAAAGCCCTTTAAGATCATCCAGTCCAACCATTAACCTACACTACCAAGTCTACTCTAAGCCAATCAAGGGTAGACTAGACTAAACCATGTCCCCAAGTGCCACATCTACCCGTTTTTTGAACGGAGGAGGGACTTCTTTCTTTCTGGAAAGGTCACCTTTGCCAAGTCTGCGGAGCGGCCTCCCCGCGCCTGCTGCCTCTCGCGGCCCCCCTTAATCTCCTTACAGGAGGCCGCGCCATGGCAACACGCACCCGGGAGCCTCTTCGTGTCACCCGCGGGGCTGGGTGGGAGCACAGCCGAGGAAGAGAGAGATTGCGCTACCCGTGCAGCTGTGACTTTCCTTCTTGCCCCAGCGTATCTGCCTGGCGTGATGCTCGTCTGAAATTTGTAACCTCAGGCTTGAGGAAGAACTCCTCCTGGATTTCTGTGCCTTTCTTCCTCTCCCGGCAGGATTTATTGTCCGAGATGTAGCCCAGAGAACGAAGTCTGAAAGGAAGGGCTGTTGACATGTGGCACCGCTATGATTTGGGGATGCACTGCTAAGTGGCTGTACAATTGTTTCATGTAGGTGTGCCTGATTTATCTTACTCCAAGTGCAGCCTCCGCTTAACTGGGACTTGTAAAAATCTCTTTTTCTTCTTTCTCCTTTATTTGGTAATTATTTTTCTTTCCCCCCGTTTCCCCCCTCTTCGTGACCACTCCATGCTTTCCTTCTCTGACAAGGAGCTAAGGCGGGAGTTGGCTGCAGGCTCTCAGCCAGCTCCCCTGCATCATGTACCAAAGTACTTTGTTAGGACTGGAATTGCTGAGAGTTTGGGATAGGGACAGAAGCCAAGTGACCTCAGCAGTGCTTTCTTGAGAGGAGAAATTAGAGAGGATTTTGCAGAGATGATATTAAAGTGGTGTATTGTGGTGTGTTTATTTTAGACTTGCCCTACCTTAACTGCAGCAAGTGTTCAATTATACGTGGCTGAGGTTTTAGGTTTGCGTTGGTACAGCTGCTGCTGTAACCTGTTATAACAAAGCATGCACAATGCAGCCAACGCATTTGTACCAGTACTGCTGTTTTGCATTTGAAATCAGTGTCTTTGTAATATCCCTCTGGTGTAAGGTTTTTCCTGCCTGCACTTAGGTCATTCAATATATTAAATGGGAACAAAGTTCTCCCTTACTGTTTAATAAATCTTACCGTACATGAATCTACTAGAATACCTTCAGCATTTAATTTTGTACAAAAGAGCAGTCAGATGAACTCTGCTTGTTGCTTTACACGTATCCTTCGTGATACCCAAGTTTTTGTTAAGCAGCTTTAAGTACTGAAGGCGCCTTTTCCAAATGTGGGGTTTTGGGTTTTTTTTTTTTCCTTTCTGTTTCCCTGTAGGATGGCTCAAGGGTAGGAGGAATTTGATTTTGCTAAGGTTACAAAATATGAGGATTCTTTTGTATATGTGAGGGAAATATATAAAAACTACTTATTTTTCAAAATTAAGGGAGCTGTTAGAGGTAGATGTGCTTTTCACTCCTCCATAAATACATTCTTTAAACATTTTCTGTTTGATACTGTGCCTTGATACTGCGAATTGAATACAAGAGGAAATACTGTGAGGACAAACACAGGTGAGAAAGCATAGTTTCAGAGCATTGCTTTTCTCTGGAATGTATAGACAACTGATGCCTTTCTAGTTTCACATCTGTTCTTTGTGCTCAGTCACACTTGCTGGATGTGCAGCCATATTTACGGACACACTTTCATGGATCACTGAACAGGCATAGGGAGCAGCACAAGCTTCAATATCTTAACAAAATGTAGAGCTGCCAGGTAAACAGCTCCTTTTCTGCTAAGCTGGGACTCTGTGCACTTCCTCCTTGTTGGTCATCTGTGACGGTTTTGATTGAGTTCCAGCTAGAGGAAAAATAAGATGTATGTGCACGTAGTGTTTACCTTTTGAGGCAGAAATGCTAGTTGTGCCAAAGTATCATATGACTATTGCAGAAGCTTGTAGTCCAGGTGTTGGTTTGGAGTTAGAAGGAGCACAGGTGAAGCCACTGTCACCTATAAATTGAGCATGTTTTACAGTGCTGTTTGACAGCAGAGCTCCATACTACGCATAAATGTTGCATTAAATCCAATTGGGAGAACACAGAAAAGTGTTAGAGCACATTTTATAATGTTGCTGTTGGTTGCAAAAAGCTACAGCATAGTGGAGGGAGGGATATGTCTTTGAGAAGTATTCAGGAACTGATGGGGGCAAAGAGAAGACTGCCTTGATAAAAAGGTACTGTGAATTTGGGAGACGCCAGCTCTGGTAGAGCTCAGGGATTTACAGGCCAGTCAGATGACAAAGAGAAGCAGTATGTGTTAGTGAGGGGAAGTTAAGACAGAATGGAGGTATCAAAAAAAATTGGAAACTGTTAAAACTGGAAGAAGCCGCTGAAGAAGAAAATGCAAAATTTAAATGTAGGTAACTGAATTGAGCATTGTGAAATGGGAAATAATGTGCATCTTTGACTTTAGTGTAAAGGCTTTGTATGTTAAGAAAAACCAAGTGTATTGCAGGGGATCATCTGATCTAATGAAAGTAGCTATCATTCTGCATTGGTTTAGTGATTTCGAGATTGGTGTGCTTTTTGCTGTTAATACACATTTATCTAGTAATCTACATAGTAGTAAATATTTTCAGCAATATATCCAAACCTATCTATGGGGTTTCTTGAAATTTCAGCAGTTAAGTTCTGAACTTCTTGTTTTGCTGCTGTTTCACTGATGGCTCAGCACCTACAGTTTCTAGGTCAGTGGGAATGGACTTCGTGGGCTTGTGTAGGTGGATATTTCCTTAGGAGTCTGGGATTGCTGGCCTCATGTTGTTTTCATAAGGATTACAGACTAATTGTAGAAGTTGTTCTGAATAAACACCAACAAGTTGCAGCTTCTCTGGGGTCTTGCCAACTCTTTTGGTAATTGTGAGAAAAATAATGTTTCCTTTCCCCATTCTTCTCCTACAGGTCACGTGGATTGCCAAAGCTGAAAGAGTCCCGTTCCCATGAGTCTTTACTGAGCCCAGGCAGCGCGGTGGAGGCCCTGGATCTTGGGTCAGAAGAAAAAGTCTTTGTCAAACCACTTCACAGCAGTATCCTTGGACAAGACTTCTGCTTTGAGGTAAAGAACGCTCTCCAAACATGCAGCCGATTATATGCTGTCAGTCGGTCTGAACCGTTGCAGTACGCTGCTGTTCTGTGACTTTGTAATTGGAGAACAGATCAGCAGCCGCTGCTATCCTGAGGTTTGGGTGGGGGCTGTCTAACCAGCATGCAATTTTAAAGTCCTTGAGGCTAATGGCATCAATCACTCAATGGAGAGAAATCTTTTTCAATTACTGCGTCTTCTAATTGAAAAAATCTCTTTAATTTGATAAATATCTAAGCATTTGTAGTTTGCATGCAAATGTATGGTTGAAACACACTTGTTCATAAGCTGTGTATTCATCCTCTCCAAATATACCTAAAATTAAATTTAGAAAATATACCATAACTGAGAAATTTGATTTCCAGTTAGAGCCCCCTTCCATTAGCTCAGCCTGTTTGCCGATTGCTAAAGGAGAAGCTTCAGTAACTGCGGACGTGTCTGTTGCACCATGGAGTGGGATGCAAAGATCCTCTTGCTGTTTCAGCACAGGCTGCAGCACAGCAGCACGCGGCTCCTAGCTTTGCTTCAGACACAGGCTGTTTGTGTGAGCACAGTCCTTACCTTGCAGGACCAAAGGCACATTCATGTGTACAATTTGGATGTGTCTTAAGGCCATCGTAATCTGTCGTGG